TGTAACATGTAGTTATACAGACAGGGCCCCCTGGTGACAGATAGTGGTGTGGTACTGTAACATGTAGTTATACAGACAGGGCCCCCTGGTGACAGGTAGTGACATGGTACTGTAACATGTAGTTATACAGACAGTGCCCCCTGGTGACAGATAGTGGTGTGGTACTGTAACATGTAGTTATACAGACAGGGCCCCCTGGTGACAGATAGTGGTGTGGTACTGTAACATGTAGTTATACAGACAGTGCCCCCTGGTGACAGATAATGGTGTGGTACTGTAACATGTAGTTATACAGACAGTGCCCTCTGGTGACAGATAATGGTGTGGTACTGTAACATGTAGTTATACAGACAGGGCCCCCTGGTGACAGGTAGTGACATGGTACTGTAACATGTAGTTATACAGACAGTGCCCCCTGGTGACAGATAGTGGTGTGGTACTGTAACATGTAGTTATACAGACAGGGCCCCCTGGTGACAGGTAGTGACATGGTACTGTAACATGTAGTTATACAGACAGTGCCCCCTGGTGACAGATAATGGTGTGGTACTGTAACATGTAGTTATACAGACAGGGCCCCCTGGTGACAGATAGTGGTGTGGTACTGTAACATGTAGTTATACAGACAGGGCCCCCTGGTGACAGGTAGTGTGGTACTGTAACATGTAGTTATACAGACAGGGCCCCCTGGTGACAGGTAGTGACATGGTACTGTAACATGTAGTTATACAGACAGTGCCCCCTGGTGACAGATAGTGGTGTGGTACTGTAACATGTAGTTGTACAGGCAGGGCCCCCTGGTGACAGATAGTGGTGTGGTACTGTAACATGTAGTTATACAGACAGGACCCCCTGGTGACAGGTAGTGACATGGTACTGTAACATGTAGTTATACAGACAGTGCCCCCTGGTGACAGATAATGGTGTGGTACTGTAACATGTAGTTATACAGACAGGCCCCCTGGTGACAGGTAGTGACATGGTACTGTAACATGTAGTTATACAGACATGGCCCCCTGGTGACAGGTAGTGACATGGTACTGTAACATGTAGTTATACAGACAGTGCCCCCTGGTGACAGATAATGGTGTGATACTGTAACATGTAGTTATACAGACAGGGCCCCCTGGTGACAGGTATTGACATGGTACTGTAACATGTAGTTATACAGACAGGGCCCCCTGGTGACAGATAGTGGTGTGGTACTGTAACATGTAGTACTGTAACATGTAGTTATACAGACAGGGCCCCCTGGTGACAGGTAGTGACATGGTACTGTAACATGTAGTTATACAGACAGTGCCCCCTGGTGACAGATAGTGGTGTGGTACTGTAACATGTAGTTATACAGACAGTGCCCCCTGGTGACAGATAATGGTGTGGTACTGTAACATGTAGTTATACAGACAGGGCCCCCTGGTGACAGGTAGTGACATGGTACTGTAACATGTAGTTATACAGACAGTGCCCCCTGGTGACAGATAGTGGTGTGGTACTGTAACATGTAGTTATACAGACAGGGCCCCCTGGTGACAGGTAGTGACATGGTACTGTAACATGTAGTTATACAGACAGTGCCCCCTGGTGACAGATAGTGGTGTGGTACTGTAACATGTAGTTATACAGACAGGGCCCCCTGGTGACAGGTAGTGACATGGTACTGTAACATGTAGTTATACAGACAGGGCCCCCTGGTGACAGATAGTGGTGTGGTACTGTAACATGTAGTTATACAGGTAGTGACATGGTACTGTAACATGTAGTTATACAGACAGTGCCCCCTGGTGACAGATAGTGGTGTGGTACTGTAACATGTAGTTATACAGACAGGGCCCCCTGGTGACAGGTAGTGACATGGTACTGTAACATGTAGTTATACAGACAGGGCCCCCTGGTGACAGATAGTGGTGTGGTACTGTAACATGTAGTTATACAGACAGGGCCCCCTGGTGACAGATAGTGGTGTGGTACTGTAACATGTAGTTATACAGACAGGGCCCCCTGGTGACAGGTAGTGACATGGTACTGTAACATGTAGTTATACAGACAGGGCCCCCTGGTGACAGGTAGTGACATGGTACTGTAACATGTAGTTATACAGACAGGGCCCCCTGGTGACAGATAGTGGTGTGGTACTGTAACATGTAGTTATACAGACAGTGCCCTCTGGTGACAGATAATGGTGTGGTACTGTAACATGTAGTTATACAGACATGGCCCCCTGGTGACAGGTAGTGACATGGTACTGTAACATGTAGTTATACAGACAGGGCCCCCTGGTGACAGATAGTGGTGTGGTACTGTAACATGTAGTTATACAGACAGGGCCCCCTGGTGACAGGTAGTGACATGGTACTGTAACATGTAGTTATACAGACAGTGCCCCCTGGTGACAGATAGTGGTGTGGTACTGTAACATGTAGTTATACAGACATGGCCCCCTGGTGACAGGTAGTGACATGGTACTGTAACATGTAGTTATACAGACAGGCCCCCCCTAGTGACATGGTGACAGTTATAGTGCCCCCTGGTGGTGGTGTGGTACTGTAACATGTAGTTATACAGACAGGGCCCCCTGGTGACAGATAATGGTGTGGTACTGTAACATGTAGTTATACAGACAGGGCCCCCTGGTGACAGGTAGTGACATGGTACTGTAACATGTAGTTATACAGACAGTGCCCCCTGGTGACAGATAGTGGTGTGGTACTGTAACATGTAGTTATACAGACAGGGCCCCCTGGTGACAGGTAGTGACATGGTACTGTAACATGTAGTTATACAGACAGTGCCCCCTGGTGACAGATAATGGTGTGGTACTGTAACATGTAGTTATACAGATAGGACCCCCTGGTGACAAGTAGTGACATGGTACTGTAACATGTAGTTATACAGACAGGGCCCCCTGGTGACAGGCCCCCTGGTATGGTACTGTAACATGTAGTGCCCCCTGGTACAGATAGTGTGGTACATGTAGTTATACAGACATGGCCCCCTGGTGACAGGTAGTGACATGGTACTGTAACATGTAGTTATACAGACAGTGGCCCCTGGTGACAGATAATGGTGTGATACTGTAACATGTAGTTATAGAGACAGGACCCCCTGGTGACAGGTAGTGACATGGTACTGTAACATGTAGTTATACAGACAGTGCCCTCTGGTGACAGATAGTGGTGTGGTACTGTAACATGTAGTTATACAGACGGGGCCCCCTGATGACAGGTAGTAACATGGTACTGTAATATGTAGTTAAACAGACAGTGCCCCCTGGTGACAGATAATGGTGTGGTACTGTAACATGTAGTTATACAGACAGGGCCCCTGGTGACAGATAATGGTGTGGTACTGTAACATGTAGTTATACAGACAGGGCCCCCTGGTGATAGATAGTGGTGTGGTACTGTAACATGTAGTTAAACAGACAGTGTCCCCTGGTGACAGTGTAAGTGATGTGATACTGTAACATGTAGTGACAGTTAATGGTGTGGGACAGTGCCCCCTGGTGACAGATAATGGTGTGGTACTGTAACATGTAGTTATACAGACAGTGTCCCCTGGTGACAGGTAGTGACATGGTACTGTAACATGTAACGGTACAGGTTGGGTATGTCATCATCAAACAGATAGTGGTGTGGTTGGGTACTGTAACATGTAGTTATACAGACAGGGCCCCCTGGTGACAGGGTATGTCATCATCAAACATGGTAACGGTTGGTTGGGTCATTAAACATTAACGGTTGGTTGGGTATGTCATCATCAAACATTAACGGTTGGTTGGGTATGTCATCATCAAACATTAACGGTTGGTTGGGTATGTCATCATCAAACATTAACGGTTGGTTGGGTATGTCATCATCAAACATTAACGGTTGGTTGGGTATGTCATCATCAAACATTAACGGTTGGTTGGGTATGTCATCATCAAACATTAACGGTTGGTTGGGTATGTCATCATCAAACATTAACGGTTGGTTGGGTATGTCATCATCAAACATTAACGGTTGGTTGGGTATGTCATCATCAAACATTAACGGTTGGTTGGGTATGTCATCATCAAACATTAACAGTTGGTTGGGTATGTCATCATCAAACATTAACGGTTGGTTGGGTATGTCATCATCAAACATTAACGGTTGGTTGGGTATGTCATCATCAAACATTAACGGTTGGTTGGGTATGTCATCATCAAACATTAACAGTTGGTTGGGTATGTCATCATCAAACATTAACGGTTGGTTGGGTATGTCATCATCAAACATTAACGGTTGGTTGGGTGTATCATCAATTGGCTTTTAAATGAAATATCTCCTGGATTACCTTTGATATAGGTAAAGTGATAAGTCTGAAAAGCCTGTAAATGAGGGACATGCTGTGTCTGAAAAGCCTGTACATTAGGGACATGCTGTGTCTGAAAAGCCTGTACATGAGGGACATGACATGTCTGAAAAGCCTGTACATTAGGGACATGCTGAATCTGAACTGTTGCACATGAAGGACATGCTGTGTCTGAACTGTTGTACATGAGGGACGTGCTGTGTCTGAACTGCTGTACATGAGGAACATGCTGTGTCTGAACTGCTTAATATGAGGGACATGTTGTTTCTGAACTGCTATACATGAGGGACATGCTGTGTCTGAACTGCTGTACATGAGGGACATGACATGTCTGAAAAGCCTGTACATTAGGGACATGCTGAATCTGAACTGTTGCACATGAAGGACATGCTGTGTCTGAACTGTTGTACATGAGGGACGTGCTGTGTCTGAACTGCTGTACATGAGGAACATGCTGTGTCTGAACTGCTTAATATGAGGGACATGTTGTTTCTGAACTGCTATACATGAGGGACATGCTGTATCTGAACTGCTGAACATGAGGGATATGTTGTATCTGAACTGCTGTACATAAAGGACACGCTGTATCTGAACTGCTATACATGAGGGATAGGATGTGTCTGAACTGCTGTACATAAGGGACGTGCCATGTCTGAACTGCTTTACTTGAGGGATATGTAGAGTTTGAACTGCTGTACATGAGGGACGTGCTGTGTCTGAACTGCTGTACATGAGGGACATGCTGTGTCTGAACTGTTGTACATGAGGAACATACTGTGTCTGAACTGCTTAATATGAGGGACATGTTGTATCTGAACTGCTATACATGAGGGACATGCTGTGTCTGAACTGCTGTACATGAGGGACATGCTGTATCTGAACTGCTGTACATGAAGGACACGCTGTATCTGAACTGCTGAACATGAGGGATATGTTGTATCTGAACTGCTGTACATGAAGGACACGCTGTATCTGAACTGCTGAACATGAGGGACATGCTGTATCTGAACTGCTGTACATGAAGGACACGCTGTATCTGAACTGCTGAACATGAGGGATATGTTGTATCTGAACATACCTTTTCTGAACTGCTGGATCTTTTCCTCTGCTAGTTTAGAAATTTCTGGCCAGACTATGGAGTTTAACATCTTTAGCTTTTCCTAAAATAAATTGGAACTACTGAAATCTCAACAAGAGGCCCATGGGCCTTAACGGTCATCTGACAAAAAGCAAGCCAAACTCTAACAACAGTGAGTCTGTCGTTAAAACAGTGGGCTTTATTCATTTGAATAAACTTGGTAGCCCTTCCTCCCAGCATCCTACAAGCCCAATATCAGCACTCTGAGCCTTTTGGTTACGGAGAAGAAGTCGTTTACAGATTTTAACATATTTGAAGCTGTAATCTTGAAAGTGGGTCAAGGTCATTCACTTGAATACATTTGGTAACACTTCCCTAAAGCATCCTACAGGCCCAATATCAGCAATCTAATTATTTTGGTTATTGAGAAGTCATTTGCATATTTTAACATATTTAAACCCTGTGACCTTGAAAGTGGGTCAAGGTCATTCATTTGAACAAATTTGGTAGCATGTCATCCCAGCATCCTACTGCCATTATCAGCACTCTTGGACTTTTGCTTATTGAAGAGAAGTTGTTTGTATATTTTAACATATTTGACCCCTGTGACCTAGAAAGTGGGTTGAGGTCATTCATTTGAACACACATGGTAACCCTTCCTCCAAGCATCCTACAGGCCCAATATCAGCACTCTTGGACTTTTGCTTATTGAGAAAAAGTCGTTTGTATATTTTAACATATTTGACCCCTTTGACCTTGAAAGTGGGTCAAGATCATTCATTTGAACAAACTTGGTAGCCTTTCCTCCAAGCATCCTACAGGCCCAATATCAGCACTCATGGACTTTTGCTTATTGAGAAGAAGTTGTTTGTATATTTTAACATATTTAACCCCTGTGACCTAGAAAGTGGGTTGAGGTCATTCATTTGAATAAACGAGATAGCCTTTCATCCCAGCATGCTACAGACCCAATATCAGCAATCTGAGCCTTTTGGTTGTTGAGAAGTGGTTGTTTAAAAATTTCAACATATTTGACCCCTGTGACCTTGAAAGTGGGTCAAGGTCATTCATTTAAACGAACTTGGCAGCCTTTCCTCCAAGCATCCTACAGGTCCAATATCAGTACTCATGGACTTTTGCTTATTGAGAAGAAGTTGTTTGTATATTTTAACATATTTGACCCCTGTGACCTTGAACATGGGTCAAGGTCATTAATTTGTGACAAACTTGGTAGCCCTTCATCCCAGCATGCTATGGGCCAAGTGTTAGCCCCCTTGGCCTTCTAGTATTTGAGAAGAAGATTTTGAATGAAAAGTTTACAGATGACGCACGGCGGACGACGACGGGTGAAGCACGATGGCTATAGGTCATCTCGATCCTTCGGGTCAGATGACCTAAAAATCTCATTTCATGTTTCCCCTTTAACTCGAAGAAAATAATGAACTTTAAAATAAGGTCCCATCCCTCATCCCCTAAGAGTTGAAGCAAAATTCTGAATTTAAGAAATGATAAACCTCACCCAATGATGCAGCAGACCATTTGGTTGAAATCCATCCAGGTGTGAAAGAGGAGTAGGTTTTAATTCAATTCAATTATTATATTAAGAAAATTGTCATCAAGATGATTTCCACTCCAATAAACCTTCTATGTTACTCACTTGGTCACTAAATACAATTGGTCCCAGCACTTTTCTGTTGATTTCCATGTTCTCATCAACAATGGACTCTCCGAACACATCCACCAACCTTCTGTAGGCTGGTCGACCCTTCCTGTACACTTCATGTCCTGTTATATATAACACAGAAAATTGATATACAACTACATCTTGTGTCAACCTTCTGTAGGCTGGTCGACCCTTCCTGTACACTTCATGTCCTGTTACAAATAACACAGAATATTGATATACAACTACATCTTGTGTCAACCTTCTGTAGGCTGGTCGGCCCTTCCTGTACACTTCATGTCCTGTTACAAATAACACTGAATATTGATATACAACTACATCTTGTGTCAACCTTCTGTAGGCTGGTCGACCCTTCCTGTACACTTCATGTCCTGTTACAAATAACACAGAATATTGATATACAACTACATCTTGTGTCAACCTTCTGTAGGCTGGTCGACCCTTCCTGTACACTTCATGTCCTGTTACAAATAACACAGAATATTGATATACAACTACATCTTGTGTCAACATTCTGTAGGCTGGTCGGCCCTTCCTGTACACTTCATGTCCTGTTATATATAACAAAGAATATTGATATACAACTACATCTTGTGTCAACCTTCTGTAGGCTGGTCGGCCCTTCTTGTACACTTCATGTCCTGTTACAAATAACACAGAATATTGATATACAACTACATCTTGTGTCAACCTTCTGTAGGCTGGTCGACCCTTCCTGTACACTTCATGTCCTGTTATATATAACACAGAAAATTGATATACAACTACATCTTGTGTCAACATTCTGTAGGCTGGTCGACCCTTCCTGTACACTTCATGTCCTGTTACAAATAACACAGAATATTGATATACAACTACATCTTGTGTCAACCTTCTGTAGGCTGGTCGACCCTTCCTGTACACTTCATGTCCTGTTACAAATAACACAGAATATTGATATACAACTACATCTTGTGTCAACCTTCTGTAGGCTGGTCGGCCCTTCCTGTACACTTCATGTCCTGTCATATATAACACATAATATTGATACAAACAACTACACCTTGTGTCAACCTTCTGTCGACTGGTCAGACTTCCAGATGTTTACACACTAATGACTGTCCACTACATATTTTTCCTGTCAAACATAACGTACCTAGTTTGTCACAGTCAATAGTACCAGCCCCCAAAGCTTCCAGACGTTTACACACTGCTGACTTTCCACTGGCTATTCCTCCTGTCAGCCCTATTACATATGGCACAGCCAGTAAATCTTCTTTTATCTAAAATATAAATGTTACAAAAATATAATAATATGAAACCCAGAAAACTACTGTTTCTTAAAATCATAACTGTGTAGTCCCAAGTATGACATACCTGTTTAGTCCCCAGTATGACATACCTGTAAAGTCCCCAGTATGACATACCTGTGTAGTCCCCAGTATGACATACCTGTAAAGTCCCCAGTATGACATACCTGTATTATCCCCAATATGACATACCTGTACAGTCCCCAGTATGACATACCTGTACAGTCCCCAGTAAGACATACCTGTACAATCCCCAGTATGACATACCTGTATAGTCCCCAGTATGACATACCTGTATAATCCCCAGTATGACATACCTGTACAATCCCCAGTATGACATACATGTTTAGTCCCCAGTATGAAATACCTGTATAGTCCACAGTATGAAATACATGTACAGCCCCAATATGACATACCTGTACAGTCCCCAGTATGACATACCTGTATAGTCCCCAGTATGAAATACCTTTACAGTCCCCAGTATGACATACCTGTATAGTCCTCAGTATGACATACCTGTACAGTCCCCAGTAAGACATACCTGTATAGTCCCCAGTATGACATACCTGTACAGTCTCCAGTATGACATACATGAAGGGTTCCCAGTATGACATACCTGTGTAGTCCCCAGTATGACATACCTGTACAGTACATGTAGTCCCCAGTATGACATACCTGTAAAGTCCCCAGTATGACATACCTGTACAGTTACAAGTATGACATACCTGTACAGTTCCAAGTATGACATACTTGTACAGTCCCAAGTATGACATACCTGTACAGTCCCCAGTATGAAATACATGTACAGTCCCCAGTATGACAGACCTGTAAAGTCCCCAGTAAGACATACCTGTGTAGTCCCCAGTATGACATACCTGTGTAGTCCCCGGTATGACATACCTGTATAGTTCCTAGTATGACATACCTGTACAGTCTCCAGTATGACATACATGTAGGGCTCCCAGTATGACATACCTGTGTAGTCCCCAGTATGACATACCTGTGTAGTCCCCAGTATGACATACCTGTACAGTACATGTAGTCCCCAGTATGACATACCTGTGTAGTCCCCAGTATGACATACCTGTGTAGTCCCCAGTATGACATACCTGTACAGTACATGTACAGTCCCAAGTATGACATACCAGTACAGTCCCAAGTATGACACACCTGTACAGTCCCCAGTATGACATACCTGTATAATCCCCAGTATGATATACCTGTACAGTCTCCAGTATGACATACCTGTGTAGTCCCCAGTATGACATACCTGTAAAGTCCCTAGTATGACATACCTGTACAGTCCCCAGTATGACATACCTGTACAGTTCCAAGTATGACATACCTGTACAGTCCCAAGTATGACATACCTGTACAGTCCCCAGTATGATATACCTGTATAATCCCCAGTATGACATACCTGTACAGTCCCCAATATGACATACCTGTGTAGTGCCCAGTATGACATACTTGTGTAGTCTCTGGTATGACATGTCTTTAAAGTCCCCATTATGACATGTTTGTGAAGTCCATAGTATGACATACCTGTACAGTCCCCGGTATGACATACCTGTACAGTCCCCAGTATGACATACCTGTGTAGTGCCCAGTATGACATACCTGTGTAGTCCTTGGTATGACATGTCTTTGAAGTCCCCGTTATGACATGTATGTGAAGTCTGTAGTATGACATACCTGTACAGTCCCCGGTATGACATACCTGTAAAGTCTACATTATTACATACCTGTAAAGTCTACATTATGACATGTTTGTGAAGTCCTTAGTATGACTTACCTATACAGTCCCTGGTTTGATGTATATTCTACAGTATGACATACCTTCAGCGTGTTGATTAGAGTTCCCAACAACCGTTTGCGATAAGAAGATGAGCTAATTTTGTTTTCCTCATATTGATTATGCTGCTTATCTTCCACTAGCTCAATGACAAACTCCTCAAGGACGGGAAAACCCTGTCAAGGTAGGCCACACATCATTCAAATACTGGTCCAGTAAACACACAATGTCACACAGAAATTCTCAAACTTAATGAATGACAATAAACAGCCTAAATAAATCTTCATTGTAATAACAATTGTTTAGTGTGCGGAGTTTTTATTTTATATTTCATAGATTGAGAAATAATCTAAACTATGTATGATTTAAAGAAGAGGCACAAAAACATTTGCATATGACATGTATTTACAGTCACACCGTGTTACCTCAAACTCAGCAGGTCATGAAAAATCTTCAAGAAAACTGAGTGTTTGATTTAAGTGAGTTCAAATGTTTTGTGTAAAGTAAGGCAGGGACTGACAAAATGCTTCGAGTTAAACAAGGTCTTCCAGCTGTAAATATTCTTCACACAACACAGTCTACTAGTATATATCATGGGGAAACCCTGCTGACAAATGTTTGTGTACAAGACAGTCTATTTATAAAGGGGAAATCCTGCTGACAAATGTATATATAGGAGGGAAATCCTGCTGACAAATATATATACAGGAGGGAAATCATGCTGACCAATATATATATAGGAGGGAAATCCTGCTGACAAATGGTTGGGTTGGTTAGTTACAGGTTTTCTGTTTTTGCAAATCCTCCTGATGCCAGGTATCATCTGATCGATGAATGCAAGTGATCTGGCAATGTGTACTCTGACAAATGTACAAGACATTCTATATATAGATGAGGAAATCCTGCTGACCTACATACAAAACAGTCTACTGTATAGTGGGAAATTCTTCTATGGCACCATAAGATATGTATGGGTTCCCCATGGGTTTTTCCTCTGATCTACTCCCTCACCTTTTTTTGGCGTTCATCTTTGACCATCTGTCCCCCTTTCTTAGTTTCCTGACTAAGAACTATACACTGTAGATCACTGTCTGTGATGGTGGGACCAAATGCATCATAGATAGGCACCACATCTGCACAAATATTTGGACGAACTTCCTGTATAAAATTTCTCACAGACTCCAATCTGGGCTGTATTGGCTGAATCAGCTCAGATAGCGTCTTTTCTTCAAAACAAAAAAACAAAAAGTATCCATTCATTATTTCATCAACAGTTCTTGATCTTCGCACAATTACAAACAAATCAGTGGTGGTTGGATAGTAGTAAGATTTAAATTAAATGAGAGCTAGCAAGGAGATACTCTTGTGGTAAGATAGTGGTCAATTGGTCAGAAACAAGAGCTAGCAAGGAGATACTCTTGTGGTAAGATAGTGGTCACTTGATCAGAAACGAGAGCTAGCAAGGAGATACTCTTGTGGTAAGATAGTGGTCACTTGGTCAGAAACAAGAGCTAGCAAGGAGGTACACTTGTGGTAAGATAGTGGTCACTTGGTCAGAAACAAGAGCTAGCAAGGAGGTACCCTTGTGGTAAGATAGTGGTCACTTGGTCAGAAACGAGAGCTAGCAAGGAGATACTCTTGTGGTAAGATAGTGGTCACTTGGTCAGAAACAAGAGCTAGCAAGGAGTTACTCTTGTGGTAAGATAGTGGTAACTTGGTCAGAAACAAGAGCTAGCAAGGAGGTACACTTGTGGTAAGATAGTGGTCACTTGGTCAGAAACAAGAGCTAGCAAGGAGGTACACTTGTGGTAAGATAGTGGTCACTTGGTCAGAAACGAGAGCTAGCAAGGAGATACTCTTGTGGTAAGATAGTGGTCACTTGGTCAGAAACAAGAGCTAGCAAGGAGATACTCTTGTGGTAAGATAGTGGTCACTTGGTCAGAAACAAGAGCTAGCAAGGAGATACTCTTGTGGTAAGATAATGGTCATTAGGTCTTACAAATGCTGTAGGAGATGTGTTATGCTCCAAGAATTGGACAAAACATAAGAATAAACAATAATAAAGGTCAATAACTCCAAAATAATGCATTGAGAATTATGGTTCTTGTACACGACACTTCTCCATATCAAGATCTATCTACCTATCAAGTTTCATGTTGATATCTCTTATAGTTTTGTGCTATGTTACAGACAGATTTTAAGTATTAAAAACAACAAAGGGCCATAACTCCTAAATTATGCAGAAAGTTATGGTCCTTGTACACAGTACATCTCATTAAGATCTATCTACCAATCATGTTTTATGTTGATATCTCTTATAGTTTTGTGCTATGTTACAGACAGAATTTAAGTATTAAAAAAACAAAGGGCCATAACTCCTAAATTATGCAGAAAGTTATGGTCCTTGTACACTGCACGTCTCCTCATCACGATCTATCTGACCATCAGGTTTCATGTTGATACCACTTACAGTTGTAAGATGGTGGTCACTAGGTTAAGATGAACTAACAGAGAGGTATCCCTGTGATAAAATGATGGTCACTAGGTCAGGGGGATGAACTAACAGAGAGTTACACTTGTGATAAAATGATGGTCACTAGGTCTGGGAAATGAGCTAACCGAGAGGTATCCCTGTGGTAAGATGGTGGTCACTAGGTCAGGGGGATGAACTAACAGAGAGTTACACTGGTGATAAAATGATGGTCACTAGGTCAGGGGGATGAACTAACAGAGAGGTATCCTTGTGGTAAGTTGATGGTCACTAAGTCAGGGAAATGAACTAACAGAGAGGTATCCCTGTGGTAAGATGGTGGTCACTAAGTCAGGGAAATGAACTAACAGAGAGGTATCCCTGTGGTAAGATGGTGGTCACTAGGTCAGGGGGATGAACTAACAGAGAGTTACACTGGTGATAAAATGATGGTCACTAGGTCAGGGGGATGAACTAACAGAGAGTTACACTTGTGATAAAATGGTGGTCACTAGGTCAGGGGGATGAACTAACAGAGAGTTATACTTGTGATAAAATGATGGACACTAGGTCTGGGAAGTGAGCTAACAGAGAGGTATCCCTGTGGTAAGATGGTGGTCACTAAGTCAGGAAGATGAACTAACAGAGAGGTATCCCTGTGGTAAGATGGTGGTCACTAGGTCAGGGAGATGAACTAACAGAGAGTTATCCCTGTGGTAAGATGTTGGTCACTAAGTCAGGGAGATGAACTAACAGAGAGGTATCCCTGTGGTAAGATGATGGTCACTAGGTCAGGGGGATGAACTAACAGAGAGTTACACTTGTGATAAAATGATGGCACTAGGTCAGGAGGATGAACTTATAGAAAAGTACCATTGTGGTTAGACAGTAGTCATGATCACTTGGTTGAGGAAGAAATGTAACAGAACGGCACCCTTGGTTGAGGGAGAGAATCCCAGATCGGAGGAATTTTCTGAAAGATCTATTATACACTGTTGACTTACTGTTGTTCATGTCACCATCCGTGACACCAACTGTTAGCCGTTTGTCTGCAAGCAGACATCCTTCACTAAGCAGGATCTTGTGCCCAGTATGTATGTGATCGAAGGTACCACCCAAAACTGTATTGGCAAAACTGGAAATAAGAGGCAATGACTCTGTAGTCTGAACATTATCTTGTGTTGATAAATCTTCCCCATTACGTTGATGTAGATTGAAGCTGACTACATCAATTGCAGGGGTACACTGACAATCATGCTGGAATTTTCTGGAAACATGTCCCAATAGATTAGTTCTGGTGGTTTCTTCTTTTCCGAGCCAGTGGTCATCATCAAACAGGATTATGTCACAGCTTGGCTTTAACATGTAGTTCACATCCCAAGGGAAGCAACTGTTGTTTGATATATGACCTAACAAAATGTTGACATCCAAGTGATTACAGACAGATGCACTAGAGGTATACAGCTGAGTTATGAGTGTGCGGAGTTCCTTGGTGTATGGAGTGCGGGTCACAGTGAACACCTGACTGTCACGAGTTGTGTTGGGTTGTATGTGAACATAGAGAGTTGTGGCGACAATCTTTGCCACTTCTGTCAGCATTGGCGAGAGGCTGTCCCTGAGTATAGGAAGAGGGCGTGTGAGGATCAGGAGACCTGTACTGAACATCTTGTACAGGATTAGATGTGGTGCTCCTGCAATTGAACAATTATGTTCATGTGAATGTTAAGAATAACAAGAACCTTAAGATAATTTTGCCTGCAGTAAACATTCAGAGTTAACTCATAATATTTCATAAGTCAAAAGCTGGGGTTGTAACACTAAAATCAAAATCACTGGCTTGACTTATCAAACCACAATCCAAGTCACAGACTGAGCTAATTACCCATCATTGACAATCCATGTCACAGACTGAGCTAATTACCCATCACTGACAATCCAAGTCACAGACTGAGCTAATTACCCATCACTGACAATCCATGTCACAGACTGAGCTAATTACCCATCACTGACAATCCATGTCACAGACTGAGCTAATTACCCATCACTGACAATCCAAGTCACAGACTGAGCTAACTACCCATCACTGACAATCCAAGTCACAGACTGAGCTAATTACCCATCACTGACAATCCAAGTCACAGACTGAGCTAATTACGCATCACTGATAATCCAAGTCACAGGCTGAGTTAGTTACACAACCCTGACAATCCAAGTCACAGGCTGAGTTAGTTACACAGCACTGACAATACAAGTCACAGGCTGAGTTAGTTATACAACACTATCAATACAAGTCACAGGCTGAGTTAGTTACACAACCCTGACAATACAAGTCACAGGCTGAGTTAGTTACACAACACTGACAATACAAGTCACAGGCTGAGTTAGTTACACAATACTGACAATACAAGTCACAGGCTGAGTTAGTTACACAACACTGACAATACCAGTCACAGGCTGAGTAAGTTATACAGCACTGACAATACAAGTCACAGGCTGAGTTAGTTACACAACCCTGACAATACAAGTCACAGGCTGAGTTAGTTACACAACACTGACAATACCAGTCACAGGCTGAGCTTATCGAACAACACTGACTACCAAAGTCAGGCTGAGCTAATAAACACAACATAACAATCAAAGTAACTGGTTTTGGACTATTACACAACAATCAAAGTTATTGGCTGTGCTTATTATGCAACAATCAAAGTAACTGGCTGGGCCTTGTCTTGACAATCAAAGTAACTGGCTGGGCCTTTTCTTGACAATCAAAGTAACTGGCTGGGCCTTGTCTTGACAATCAAAGTAACTGGCTGGGCCTTTTCTTGACAATCAAAGTTACTGGCAGGGCCTTTTCTCGACAATCAAAGTTACTGGCTGGGACTATTTAAAGGTAAGTTGAACATCGTTAATTACTCTACTGAATTTGAGGCTCTCAAGTGGAAGGCAGTGTGATCATTTGAATGTCACCCTTACATTCTGAAGGAGAAGACCCTTTGATTGACAGAGATAACAAGAGTATTAGTAAAACTGATGAATGCTTTCCCAAAACAATTTGATTTAACCAATTCAACAATTCTGTAATTAAGAGGTTGCAGGCCTTGAATTTGGTTTAACTCTGTACTGAGGAGCCATGGGCCTAGACATTGCACTGCACCTGATGTATATATCATGTTTCAGTATCCTAGATTAAATGCAGAACAAGAGATCTCAGAGGGATCTTGGCACCCACCATTTGAGGATCTGTTTTCAGTTCTTGAAGATTTGTTTATTTTTTTTGTTTGTTACAGGTGTTGTAAATGTTCATGAACTGGTCTTCATCGAATGTACTCAATGATGGCACAAGATATTTTTATTAAGCACCTATTAGCAAATATCATCTGAAAAAGATCCCAAAGTATTATTAGATATCAGTCAGTTACAGGTGGATAATGGACATGGTCTTGAATCAATATGATAGAATATCAAAGAAAATATGCTTGTGCTGTATTAATGTTGACATCCAAGAAGGCTGCCTGTGGGCCACCTTGATTTCAAATCAGTTCAAAAAATGTACAATGCACAACTAGGGACCAAGGGAAACTAATACCTATGAAATATCAGAAGGATCCATCCAGTACTTCCTCAGAAATAGCGGTAAGAAGATTTTACTCTCAAAATCCAAGATGGCTGCCTGTCAGCCATCTTGATTTCGAATAAGTCCAAAAAAGGTACACTGCACAACTAGGGACCAAGGGGAAGCACCCTATGAAATCTGACAAAGATCCATCCAGAACTTTCTCAGAAATAGCGGTACTTAATTTTTCTTTTTAAAATAAAAGAAGGCCAACAAGCGGCCATCTTGAATTCGGATCAGTCCAAAAAAGGTACAATGCACAACTAGGGACCAAGGGGAACCTGCATATGAAATTTGAGAAAGATCCATCCAGTACTTTCCAAGAAATAGCGGTAACAAACTTTTACTTCTAAGATCCAAGATGGCCACCTGTCAGCCATCATGAATTAGAATCAGTCCAAAAAAGGTACAATGCACAACTAGGGACCAAGGGGAAACTGCACATGAAATTTGAGAAAGATCCATCTAATACTTTTCCATAAATAGCGGTAACAAGAATAGTTTACGGACGGACGGACTGACAACGGACCAAGGACGTAGGGTGATTTGAATAGCACCACCATCTGATGATGGTGGGCTATGGACATGGGTAATGCTATGGACATTAAAAAGTTACAAAGGGCAATGACTCTGTAATTAAGGGGTTGCAGGCCCTAACATTGATACACTGCACATTTTCTTCACATGATCAATGAATAAACCAATTTTAATTATCCTAGTTTAAATGTAAACAAACTTATGCTTCGGACACAAAATTTTAATAAGGGCAATAACTCTTTAATTAAGGGATTGTGGGTCCTGAAATTTATACATCACACATTCCCTTTTGTCCTTTTATTTAATCCAACATCTCTTCTCAAAAATGAAGTCTTCTATTTGATACCATTTTTCCATTGTAGTTTTAAAGCAAGGCTAATGAAGATAGAAAGTTTATTTATTTGATCAGTTTGAGCTTCAATATATCATAAAAAGATTTTATGGCAAATTCTGTATTGCCTCTACCCTAATACCCTTGTAAAAATGCAACTGGAAATACATACATATATATATATATATATATACATAACCGTACAAATTCTACATGTATATATTTGTAAATGGCTGTTTCAACAAAGCAGATCACTGTAGAAGTATTTATTGCTAAATAAGCCACTGTCATGTAGACTAAATCAATATAATTTCTTTCTTGTGTCTGTACATGATTACTTTATGATAATGTTAATATGTAAACATAAAGTATATATGTGTACTATTGACTAAAACCACAATCCTACCGAGTCCTCAGCCTGGGGTCAAAATGTAAACATAATGGACAAAGTGGATACACATATCAGGGAGATTATAAAATGTAAAACGAGACCGTACGATCAAAAGTGAAAATCATCCTTCCATCGCCATCATGTTTAGTACCATAGACAATGAAAGTAATACTTTTATAATGACATAAAATAGCGAATATACATCCTTAATCTTCGCAGTATAACTGAAATCGTAGCTAACCGGATAAATATCCGGATAGTATCCGGATATTTTAATACCAACCGTAACCGTTTTGTGTATTGTTTTTGGAGTCTCGTTTTAAGACGACCTTTGTGGAAGTGTGCCCATTTCCGCTTTTGAACGAGACGACAATCACCCTGGAACACACATTGCATTACGTACGTCAAAGGAAAAGTAAATGCTCTTCCCGATCACACGGTCTAGACACACGGGAGCTGAACATTACTACAAATTGAAATAGGAAGACATCTAAGTGGCTTTGTTCGAACAAGGTGACCTTAACAAGTAGGACAAAACATGAATTTTGTGTTCAGCACTTTCTTCAGTTTCTAGTCATTGCGACAAATCTTTGGAATTTAAAGAATCCGTGAACAATTGCGACAACGAAATTATAATAAATCAGTAAATTGATATATCTCATATCGTTTCCATAATGATCAAAACTGCTATAATGTCGACAACTGCGGTAGACTAGGACATTGTGGATAGATGAAGAAGTTAAATTTATAAAAGCAGAAATGAATGGACTTCACGGTGTCCATTATCACAATAGCGTCGACGGATTCCCCAAGGATTGTAAATACCAGCCCAACACGGCGATTGTGACCGGCGCCCTCGCTGACAAGTATGACGTCCAGGGAGAGATCGGCAGGTGAGTACTGGTCTTTTAAGTCTGTGTTGCTGATGTAACGCTGTTTATTAACCCATTGCAGTAAGACCACTACCATAGACGTGTGACCATCAATAATATTACAGGGTTTTCCATATGATCAAAGAAGCCTGTCAAATTGGCCGGCGACCAGCTCTTATGGAAAACCCTGATATTATAAAATACCCACTTTTCATATATACATATATATATATCTTAATAGTGAATGTTAAATATTATTATTGATAAAATGACATACTCCTATGTCACTAATATTTGTTTTTGATATTTGTTGTCATATGCAAGAGTTGTACTGTCCTGCAGGTAAAATCTGCTAAACTATAAAAAGTGGAAGACACGTATGTACTCCACACAGATAGGATGGATGTGTGATAGACTGAAACCTCTCCTTCTGAAGATCTTAGTGTTTTGTCTCTACTTATAACTATAACAGATGAGAAAACAAATACATACTCCACACAGATGAATACATAACTGTTTATATATACTGAAACATCTATCACTGAAGATATGAGTATTTTGTTATACTTAATATTATAACTGTATAAGATTGAGTGTACTTTGGTTGGTCACACCTGGTGATATCTGTGTTCACATTGTACCCGGTACATAAGGGATCATATGACTCCTTCAGTTGGGCTTTTGTAAATGTAATTATTGTTTGTCGAGAGAAGAATTAAGTTTGGTTACATACTTCCTCATTTTATTTGTCAGAAATAACTAATTTTACCTATGCATGCCACATTAAGATTATGGCATTGTTGTCCTCAAACCAGTGTTGTCTTCAAACAGGATAATGCCGTCAACGTCAGCTGCATTTAACAAACTTACATGTAAACTTACAAGTATCACTTATTACCTTATTTCTCAGCCCAAGGAACACATTCTATGAATAATTATCAAGAGAATATGAAAATGAAAGCCTCAAGCTCACATCCAAAGATCTGCGACAACATTTATATAAATGTCCTTTCTTTGATATTACTAACAGGAAGCCAAACCAGATCTACATTATAACCACAACAGTGGTAGATTACAGTAAATGAATACTGTTCTCACAGTCCTTTATAGCAAGGTTCTGCACCATGCTATGCTTTTAAAATTACCTGTTGATACAATGTAATTCTTGACAACTCCTTTTTTTTAATCAACAGGTTATATTTTTCATAACAATAAAAAATACTGGCAGTTATGTTTGTTGTTTCTTCTCTTTTTATACGCCGCCGGAGGCAGTCATATATTGGCATCATCTTCTCCGTCTGTCCGTACGTCCATTTCTTGTGAACAAAATCCTCCTAAACTAATCATCAGATTTTCATGAAACTTGCTCAATGTCACTACTACAATGGGTAGATGTGCATGAAAGGGCAATTTTTTGGTTCGTTGATTTTTGTAAGATTTATGCCATTTTCAACTTTGTATCTGTAGCTTGCTCATAGTGGAGCCTTGTGAACGCAACTCCTCCTAAAATAATCATCATATTTTCACGAACTTGCTCAATGTCACTATTACAATGGGTAGATGTGCATGGAGGGGTGATTTTACGGTTTTTCTTGACCTTGATATTTTGTGGCTGTGTATATTGTGTCCAGGGCACTCTTGTTGACATTTACCAAGGAAAGACTAATAATTAGTCACTGATACTTGTAGTTGGTTGGTTGGTTGACAGGTTTTCTGTCCCCTCAACTCCTTCTGTGTCCAGGGATCATCTCACAGATGAACATCAGTGTTATAGCATTGTGTGATACTTGGTACTTCTGAATTTCTTACTCTATTTATGATCAAAACAAAAAATATCTATAGTTGTGTATATTCATGTGTTTGTTGTATTTATTTATTTACTTAGCATCAGTATATATTTTTAGAATATACATAAGAATATGAAACTTTCAATAGATATTTGTATTTGGTTATATTTCCTAAGCATTTGGCTATCATAAAATCCAAGGGAGGGCACTGATAAAGTTAATGAAAAAGTCCATCAAATTATTGGAGTGTTAGGTGTTATCAGATAAAAATGAGAGCATGCTCAGCCTATATATATAAAATAACATTGTCAGACAAAGTCTTGGGCATTGAAAAACCTCAGTGGAGGGAGATAGTTGACAAATTGGCATCATCAGATGTTGTTAATGAGTAATTCTTGTATAATCATTAACTGTAAGGGGGGGGGGGGGTTTTGTTAGTATATTCTATAGCTGGTACAGCTAGTTGACGTACAGTTTATTCTATAGCTAGTTAGCAATAGTATATTCTATAGCTTGTACAGCTAGTTGGCAAATGGTATATTCTATAGCTGGTACAGCTGGTTGACAGATAGGATATTCTATAGCTGGTATAGCTAGTTGGCAATAGTATATTCTATAGCTAGTACAACTAGTTGGCAATAATATATTCTAAAGCTGGTACAGCTGGTTGACAGATAGTATATTCTATAGCTAGTACAGCTAGTTAGCAATAGTATATTCTATAAATGGTACAGCTAGTTAGCAAAAATATATTCTATAGCTAGTACAGTTAGTTAGTAATAGTTATTCTATAGCTAGTACAGCTAGTTAGCAATACTGTATTCTATAGCTTGTACAGCTAGTTGACAATATTATATTATATATCTGGTACAGCTAGTACCATTGGATACATGGGATAAACAAAATGTTTCTATTAGATTTTGTAATGATATTATATAAACATTGCAGTTAAAAAATCCTTCCAAGTTTGGTGGTAAGCCTGGTGTAAAGATCATAGAGCTAAATTGTCTAATATTTAATGTAGTGCTATTGATTAAGAGTATCAGGTAATGACCACGACACTGGTTCACGGTATCGTGTGTCAGTCACCGTCTTGGACAGTGGCCACTTATCAGAAATGACAAGAAAAATAGTTCTATCAGGTAGATTTGTGTTGTGGAATATTACACTATTGATCTTGTCATTGCCAGAAACATTTCAACACCAGCACGGTAGAGTGGGTTTGTAATTGTATAGTCTTCATATCCATGTACAGTGTTATATTAACAGTAACTTGTAAACGAGATACTACGATAGTACATGTGGAATTAAGAAACACTGGATAGAATGCTAGTAAACCGGCGAAAATTAATCAATTATAGAGAATACCAGGAGTATTTTATATTATGTGGTAAAAAAGATTTCATAAAAGTAATATGTGCAGAATCTTTTAAATTAATAATATAACTCATCCTGAGGTTGGTAATGATGTTACTTTATGTTGTATTAAATAATAAAGGCAGTTTCCATTATTTGTTATAATTTTCTGTTTATTAAAGATATTTAAGATATTTGTGTTATTGTTAATGGAGGACAATTACCTTGAGACATTTATTTTTCTTTTTATAAGCCAACTTGTTGTATACATTTTAATTGAAGACTTCCAGCTTAACCTCACATACTTTACAACATACCTTTTTTTAATGTTGACATTTTCCTGATCTGTTAATTGAAATAGACCTACAATCATGTCATGCCTATTGTCAGTTGACATCCAGCTCTGTAAACATTGGAGTTTATTTTCATAGTTCATGCTCCACTGGAGATTTTAAATGTCTCTAAAAATGTGTTCATGTACATTACATATGAAAACCTTTTGCGTGATACTTCATCGCTACACACCTGTACTGGGTATGGTCAGTATATATCACTACACACCTGTACTGGGTATGGTCAGTATACACTACTACACACCTGTACTGGGTATGGTCATTATACACTACTACACACCTGTACTGGGTATGGTCAGTATATATCACTACACACCTGTACTGGGTATGGTCAGTATACACTACTACACACCTGTACTGGGTATGGTCATTATACACTACTACACATCTGTACTGGGTTTGGTCAGTATATATCACTACACACTTGTACTGGGTATGGTCAGTATATATCACTACACACCTGTACTGGGTATGGTCAGTATATATCACTACACACCTGTACTGGGTATGGTCAGTATATATCACTACACACTTGTACTGGGTATGGTCAGTATATATCACTACACACCTGTACTGGGTATGGTCAGTATATATCACTACACACCTGTACTGAGTATGGTCAGTATATATCACTACACACCTGTACTGGGTATGGTCAGTATACACAACTACACACCTGTACTGGGTATGGTCAGTATACACTACTACACACCTGTACTGGGTATGGTCAGTATATATCACTGCACATCTGTACTGGGTATGGTCAGTATATATCACTACACACCTGTACTGGGTATGGTCAGTATATACTACCACACACCTGTACTGGGTATGGTCAGTATATATCACTACACACCTGTACTGGGTATGGTCAGTATACACTACTACACACCTGTACTGGGTATGGTCAGTATATATCACTACACACTTGTACTGGGTATGGTCAGTATACACTACTACACACCTGTACTGGTTATGATCAATATACACTACTACACACCTGTACTGGGTATGGTCAGTATATATCACTACACACTTGTACTGGATATGGTCAGTATATATCACTACACACCTGTACTGGGTATGGTCAGTATATATCACTACACACCTGTACTGGGTAAGGTCAGTATATATCACTACACAGCTGTACTGGGTATGGTCAGTATATATCACTACACACCTTTATTGGGTATGGTCAGTATACACTAATGCACACCTGTACTGGGTATGGTCAGTATATATCAATACACACTTGTACTGGGTAAGGTCAGTATATATCACTACACACCTGTACTGGGTATGGTCAATATATACTACTACACACTTGTACTTGGTAAGGTCATTATATACTACTACACACCTGTACTGGGTATGGTCATCATACACTACTACACACCTGTACTGGGTATGGTCAGTATACACTACTACACACCTGTACTGGGTATGGTCATTATACACTACTACACATCTGTACTGGGTTTGGTCAGTATATATCACTACACACATGTACTGGGTTTGGTCAGTATATATCACTACACACTTGTACTGGGTATGGTCAGTATATATCACTACACACTTGTACTGGGTATGGTCAGTATATATCACTACACACCTGTACTGGATATGGTCAGTATATATCACTACACACCTGTACTGAGTATGGTCAGTATATATCACTACACACCTGTACTGGGTATGGTCAGTATACACAACTACACACCAGTACTGGGTATGGTCAGTATACACTACTACACACCTGTACTGGGTATGGTCAGTATATATCACTGCACATCTGTACTGGGTATGGTCAGTATATATCACTACACACCTGTACTGGGTATGGTCAGTATATACTACCACACACCTGTACTGGGTATGGTCAGTATATATCACTACACACCTGTACTGGGTATGGTCAGTATACACTACTACACACCTGTACTGGGTATGGTCAGTATGTATCACTACACACTTGTACTGGGTATGGTCAGTATACACTACTACACACCTGTACTGGTTATGATCAATATACACTACTACACACCTGTACTGGGTATGGTCAGTATATATCACTACACACCTGTACTGGATATGGTCAGTATATATCACTACACACCTGTACTGGGTATGGTCAGTATATATCACTACACAGCTGTACTGGGTATGGTCAGTATATATCACTACACACCTTTACTGGGTATGGTCAGTATACACTAATGCACACCTGTACTGGGTATGGTCAGTATATATCACTACACACCTGTACTGGGTAAGGTCAGTATATATCACTACACACTTGTACTGGGTAAGGTCAGTATATATCACTACACACCTGTACTGGGTATGGTCAATATATACTACTACACACTTGTACTTGGTAAGGTCAGTATATACTACTACACACCTGTACTGGGTATGGTCAGTATATACTACTACACACCTGTACTGGGTATGGTCAGTATACACAACTACACACCTGTACTGGGTATGGTCAGTATATATCACTACACACTTGTACTGGGTATGGTCAGTATACACAACTACACACCTGTACTGGGTATGGTCAGTATATATCACTACACACTTGTACTTGGTATGGTCAGTATATACTACTACACACCTGTACTGGGTATGGTCAGTATATATCACTACACACTTGTACTTGGTATGGTCAGTATATACTACTACACACCTGTACTGGGTATGGTCAGTATATATCACTACACACTTGTACTTGGTATGGTCAGTATATACTACTACACACCTGTACTGGGTATGGTCAGTATATATCACTACACACCTGTACTGGGTATGGTCAATTTATGTTACTAAGGACATGTAAATACTATAGTTTGGCCTCTTGTTTATAAATTGGTGTTTTCTCACACATTTCAATTCTTGATCTATTTATATATCTCACTGAGCTCCTTTTCTTTAAATCCTTTTTGTCTGAAAGGAAGAATTTGAAATATGGAAACTTAATCTTTTAGCTGTTAAAGTCACTCTCAAATCTTTTAATATGTAAATCTGTTGTTAGTTGTAGACTTGATAGATTGACTTTAATTACCTGACTTTTGGACTGGACATGATATTTTAGAGAGAAGAGCTTACTTATGTGGTACAAGTATACTGAAGGAATTAAAAGTTTTGGTATTGTTAAGAGACACCTTAAGAATGTGGCCAAGTCAATATTGGCCTTTTAAAGGTGTGACGGGGCAGTGGTCAGGTAAAGCCAGTGTCCGGTATTGACCAATACCTGATTAAACTGATCATTTGATCCCTGTAGACTGGACATGTACTATCTGGACTTACTCTACTGACACAAACAGTGCTGTGGAAACTTTCTGATAAATTTCCACACATATACTGAGCATTATTTAATAGAAGTGTTTGGGACAACAGGGCCAAGATAATTAAACTTAAAGTGTTCAAAAGTTTGTTGAAGAAAAGAAAAGATGAAATTAATTCAGAAACAAAATACAAATAGTTTCAAATTTCATATAATTTCCTTCCAAAACAATAGGAATTAATTGAAGATTTTTGTATATTGCAATATAATTGAGTCTGGTCTTTTTTGTCTTGTCTTACTGCAGAAAGAAGGGCTGTCTCTACTAGCCAAAATATTTTATTTTCCCAAAATTGAAACAAAATCAAAGAATATTTTCCAAGTTTTTGCAGAAAATCCTCTTAAAAAAGAATATGATAACACAGGCTGCAGTATAATTAAGAAAGAAAAAACATTGACATATCATGCAGAAGAGATCAGATAATGAAATGATAAACATGTTTATTGTATTATTTATATATAGTAACATTCAGAAACTACAACTATCCTATGTTTGAGATATTGTTATCTAACCTTTTATATCCTTATTCACTAGCAGTCTGTTATAAATGATATTTTAAAGGTGTGTTTGTGCGTGGGTTGTGTCCCTTTGTCACCTTCATATTGTGTAATATGATGCAGATATAATCTTAGATGAGTCACAGGTGAAGAATGCTAAAGATTTCGTGTCCAGTGTATGTACCTGTATACATGTGTAACTGTCTCTGAGAAAACAGGTTGTTTACAATTTAATTTTGCAAGTATATCATTTCAGACTAACAGCTAGTTAACATTTGTTATTAGAAACAAAAGAAACAATTAAAGATTGTCTATTTATGGCTCTGATTATTAAAAGACTCGCAGCTGAATGTGTATCTCGGTCAGTTACTGTATTGTGAATTAAAATATGAGAACAGCTAGAAATGGAAAGGTATGTTAAACTAGGTGTATGTTATATAGAGAGTTTATATAATGTATGTTACATGGAGTTACAACCTGTGTGAGTAGTTCAGAGAAAACACGATGAAATCTACACCAATCCTAAAACAGCAATTTGTTTGTGTTTAAGGTTACATGCCTAAGTTCACTGTGATTCATGAATTTAATACCAGTCAGATTTTTTGTTTATGAAGGCGTCTTAAATTTTGAAAAAAAACCTACTTAATGGTTAAGTTTACCATATAAGGTAAAGTTTACCTTATAAGGTTTGTTTACTACCAGTATTTAGTTGTTTATATTGAATTGGCTCCTAATTTTGCATCTTCGGATCTGAAATAGTGACATTTGTAATGATTTGTTTTCATAAGAATAGAGAGAAAGTGTTAATTTATTAAAAATATGTATTCTTAAAACTTTTTTATTCCAGGATTTTATGTTACAATGATTAAAAAACAAACTTTAGAACAAATCGGAGGTGTGTATTGTCTTAATTTGGAAAAAGTGATTGGCAAGGTTTCAGAATGAGAAATGACTGAAAACTATTTGGGTTTTTAGGTACATCAGAGTAGAGATTGAAAGGTGACTGCCTGGGTTTCAGACAGTAGAGAGCTCAGTAGAGATTAGAAGGTGATTGGCAGGTTTTCAGACAGTAGAGAGCACAGTAGATATTAGAAGGTGGTTGGCAGGGTCCCAGACAGTAGAAGAGCACAGTATAGATTAGAAGGTGATTGGCAGGGTTTCAGATAGTGAAGAGCACAGTAGAGATTAGAAGGTGATTGGTAGGGATTCAGATAGTGAAGAGCACAGTAGAGATTAGAAGGTGATTGGCAGGGATTCAGATAGTGAAGAGCACAGTAGAGATTAGAAGGTGATTGGCAGGGTTTCAGATAGTGAAGAGCACAGTAGAGATTAGAAGGTGATTGGCAGGGATTCAGATAGTGAAGAGCACAGTAGAGATTAGAAGGTGATTGGCAGGGATTCAGATAGTGAAGAGCACAGTAGAGATTAGAAGGTGATTGGCAGGGATTCAGATAGTGAAGAGCACAGTAGAGATTAGAAGGTGATTGGTAGGGATTCAGATAGTGAAGAGCACAGTAGAGATTAGAAGGTGATTGGTAGGGATTCAGATAGTGAAGAGCACAGTAGAGATTAGAAGGTGATTGGTAGGGATTCAGATAGTGAAGAGCACAGTAGAGATTAGAAGGTGATTGGTAGGGATTCAGATAGTGAAGAGCACAGTAGAGATTAGAAGGTGATTGGTAGGGATTCAGATAGTGAAGAGCACAGTAGAGATTAGAAGGTGATTGGTAGGGATTCAGATAGTGAAGAGCACAGTAGAGATTAGAAGGTGATTGGTAGGGATTCAGATAGTGAAGAGCACAGTAGAGATTAGAAGGTGATTGGTAGGGATTCAGATAGTGAAGAGCACAGTAGAGATTAGAAGGTGATTGGTAGGGATTCAGATAGTGAAGAGCACAGTAGAGATTAGAAGGTGATTGGTAGGGATTCAGATAGTGAAGAGCACAGTAGAGATTAGAAGGTGATTGGTAGGGATTCAGATAGTGAAGAGCACAGTAGAGATTAGAAGGTGATTGGTAGGGATTCAGATAGTGAAGAGCACAGTAGAGATTAGAAGGTGATTGGTAGGGATTCAGATAGTGAAGAGCACAGTAGAGATTAGAAGGTGATTGGTAGGGATTCAGATAGTGAAGAGCACAGTAGAGATTAGAAGGTGATTGGTAGGGATTCAGATAGTGAAGAGCACAGTAGAGATTAGAAGGTGATTGGTAGGGATTCAGATAGTGAAGAGCACAGTAGAGATTAGATGGTGATTGGTAGGGATTCAGATAGTGATCTGATCTGAAATGTCTGTAACACAAATTAATGGTGAGAGGTAAAACATGAATGTAACAATATCTGTTAAATATTACAGAGGAAAGTTTGCTGTGGTGAAGCGCTGTGTCAACAAAGAGAATGGAGAAGTGGTGGCTGCAAAATGTATACGCAAGCGACGGCGAGGGAAGAGCTGTCGCGAAGAAATTCTTCGTGAGGTGGTTATGTTAGAGATGGCTCTGGAACATCCAAGACTAGTGGACCTCAAAGAAGTATTTGAAAGTCCAAGTGAACTCATCCTCATAACAGAGTAGTAAGTTCAAAGTGACCTTGTCATTATACTGGACCTTGAAATGTAACTGTGACCTTGACACTTTATGTCACCTTGATACTATATGTGACATTGACACTGTACACGACCTTGTCACTGTATGGGACCTTGGCACTTTATGTGACCTTAATATTTACGGTGACCTTGTACAATATCATGGCTTTGAAATTGATAAAACACTGAACTTGACATTATACTATGGCCTTGATGCTTATCACAATATGATACTGTAACCATGACACTATACTGTGACTTTGACACTATATGATGACCTTGACACTATACTTTGACATCATATTATGACCTTGACATGATACTGTACATTGACACTATACTGAAACCATATCTTTATATCATTATGTAGCTTGATGCAGTACTGTGAGATATTTGAGTTTGACTGACTTGCAAGGTCAACAGGGTTCAGAAGGTCACAGCAGGGGTCTTATGAGCTGAACAATTTGTTAACACCTATTGAATTAGGAAAGGCCAAGGGTCATCATATTTGACCAGTAGCCTGCTTAGATTATAACCCTGACAAATTCTCAAGGTCACAATGGGGAAACATGTTGAAACTTATCAAATTTCTTCAGATTAATCAAGAGGCCAAAGGTCATGTTTGGCCAATGGCTGGTGGTAATGGGGATCAGCATTAAAGACTCGGATCAAAGTTGAAAATTAAATGTTAACCTTTCAAAAGCTTGCTGACCAGCAGCTGGTCAAGGATATCTCTGTAATGTTTAAGTGAAAACCATTTTCTCATGAACTGTTAATAAGAGAATTCTAAATGTCTGGATTATTTTTTAGTTGTTCAGGTGGTGAGCTGTTCACAGAGTGTGTGATTGAGGAATCGTTCAGTGAGAAGGATGTTGTCCACATGATGGTTCAGATTCTAGAGGGACTTGTCTACTTGCATGAGAAAAACATTGTCCATCTCGACCTTAAGGTAAGATTTAATTCCTCATACAAAAGAAATGTTTAGCTCAACATCTTCAGATTTTGTTTTTTCAGCTGGCCTCTCTTGTAAAGCTTATGTTTTCCTCCCAAATGTTCAGTGTTGGTTTCCAAATGTTACTTTTTGGTGTAAGTGTTGAAAGGCATCAGTAAACTTCTATATAAGTGTACAAGGGTATGAGGGTAAAAGGGTACTGAGAGTACGAGGGTACTAAGTGTATGAGGGTACTGAGGGTACAAAGGTACTGAGGATACAAAAGTACAAGGGTACTTACAGTATCAGGGTGCTGAGAGTACGAGGGTACTAAGGATATGAGGGTACAGAAGGTATAAGGGTACATAGTACTAAGAGTACAAGGGTATGAGAGTACTGAGAGTATGAGGGTACTGAGAGTATGAGGGTATGAGAGTACAAAGGTACTGAGGAGAGGAGGGTACTGAGTGTACGAGGGTACTGAGGGTATGAGGGTACTTAGAGTACAAGGGTACTGAGGAAACAAAGGTACTTAAGAGTACAAGGATAAAATGTACTGATGATTGCTGTCAGGACTTACTGATTACTTCCAGAATTAATTATTTTTTGGGAAAAGGTCTTTTTCTTTTTAAACATTTTTGACTTCAACTTTTTGTGTCAATCTAATTTAATCAAATTAAATGTGATGTTTTTAGTGCCTGTGTTGACAGCAATAACCTCCCCTTCAGATATCATTATATTGGGATATAGATTCTGTGGTAACATGTCCTGATACTCATCATTTTTTCCATTATAGCCCTTTAAGCCATTGAAGACACATCTTCTGATTGTATGATCAGTATTATTCACTACCCAGTATATAATGTCTCCAACTTTAATTCAGTACAAATTGAAGGGTGATATGTTGTTTCCCTATGTCCATTTTTCCATGAGAAAAATGATAAAAAATGATATAGCTGTGTAATGTGCATAATCCCCACATTGAGCTTTTGATTTCTCACGAAAAACAACTCATTTTACCAGTTTTAATGGTTTTCTAGTTAATGCTATATTTTGGACTGAAGCATGTCATAAATGATGAGAGGCCCATTACGGTATAGTGATAAACCAAACTTTTGTTAAAAGAGGGGATATAGTATTGAAATCAATACCGAGATTTTGTCCATGCATGTGGCAGTGCCATTATAGGAAAATTTAATGTGAATTGCATATATTTCCTCAACGGTTTTGGTTCATATTCACACCATAATTGCATCGACTTCTACACTTAATAAATTTCAGTGGTCATTGGTTTAGGTTAAAGGTCAAAGGTCGCACTTGATGGCTGAGATTTGAACAAGATATCTGACAAACAGATTTAGTTCATGTTCAAACTATAATTTCAGTATCAAGCTCTGCATCTGATATAATTTTGATGGTCTAACTGTCATAGGTCAAGTTTGAAGGGTCAAAGGTCAGACTTAGCGATAAGTTTAGAAATCAAGATTCTGTAAAACAATATTTTTGTGGGGCTATGTAGTTCAAACAGGTCATGGACAGATGAATTGAAGGGTTAAGAGAACTCATCAAGTCAAATCCCCTAAAATTAGTGATTTCGCATTATAAGGATCAGGGAATATGTGAGTTTGAACCCCTGCTCACAGTATTGTATTTACAGAAACCATCACATATTCTAATTTATCACTAAAATGTTGATGTGAAATTAGATATTTTAATATGAGGAAGGAAATTTCAGCAATGTTTCAGAAATGATATTCCATAAGGAAATTAACATGTTTTAAACAAAGCAATAGAAGATTTTTCTTTAGTGTGATCAGATCTACACAAGGTTTGGCCAGATCTACACAAGGAAATAAGATAAAATATGACACCAACGAACTCAAATTTATGGATAGAATATGACACCAACAAACTCAAATTTATGGACAGAATATGACACCAAATGAAATTTTCTCTTGTCATTGTGTTCTTATGACAAAAATGGAAAGTAGTAAGGACTAACTTTGAAAAAAGTTGAGAAATAGGGGGTGTGGATATCTGAGGAGACATGGTGTAGAGGTTACCTATGTAACCATAGATTTTCTTATACTTGTTAGTTATATGATAGACAGAATATTTCTCTTGTGGCTATATTGATTACATTTGTTGAATAATGCAACCACAAGGCTGATGTTACATCAGAATACATAATACAGTTTTGCAAAAATCCATGTGTAAAGTTGCTAGATCAAACATATCACATCCTCCTCATATTGTTTTTATTATTGTGATCAATTGATGTATTTTCAGCCTCAGAACATTCTGCTAACTAAACCCTTCCCACAAGGAACCATAAAGCTGTGTGACCTTGGTTTCGCCTGTCTTGTCAACACTGGAGAAGATATACGTGATATCATCGGCACACCCGACTATGTTGGTGGGTAACACTTGGAGATAGAATATTATATAAAGTAAATTGTCATCACTGTATAACCATATAAAATAAATGCGATTTATATCAGCCATGAACGCCGGGAGCCATATGTCTTTCTTATACATATCCATCGCGTTTATGCATCAGACATGAACATACTGATACCAATGAGCCTCTCTAATAATAGTTATATCAATATGTATGAAACACCTACATAACAGGTGCAAAACATATACATGATGCATGTATCACACAGGTAGTACAGATCTATGTTACAAATTAGCAAGATACACGCAGAACACATGTAGGACACAAATATCACACAGGTAGTACAGATCTATGTTACAAATTAGCAAGATACACGCAGAACACATGTAGAACACAAATATCACACAGGTAGTACAGATCTATGTTACAAATTAGCGAGATACATGCAGAGCACATACAAGATACATGCAGAACACATACAAGATACATGCAGAACACATACAAGATACATGCAGAACACATGCAAGATACATGCAGAGCACATACAAGATACATGCAGAACACATACAAGATAAATGCAGAACACATGTAGGACACAAATATCACACAGGTAGTACAGATCTATGTTACAAATTAGCAAGATACATGCAGAGCGCATACAAGATACATGCAGAACACATACAAGATACATGCAGAACACATACTACAGACATACAGAACACATACAAGACACTTGCAGAACACATACAAGACAAATACAGAACACATACTAGACATGCAGAACACATACTACAGACATACAAAGCACATACAAAACACATGCAGCACACATACAAGATACATGCAGAGCACATACAAGATACATGCAGAACACACACATAATACATCCAGAACACATACTACAGACATACAGAACACATACAAGACACTTGCAGAACACATACTACAGACATACAGAACACATACAACACACATACAGAACACATACAAGATACATGCAGAACACATACAGGATGCATGCAGAACACACATGCTTAACACATACTACAGACATACAGAACAAATAAAAGACACTTGCAGAACACATACGAGATACATGCAGAACACATACTACAGACCTACAGAACACATACAAGATACATGCAGAACACATACAAGATACATGCAGAATACATACAAGACCCACGCAGAACACATACTACAGACATACAGAACACATACAAGACACTTGCAGAACACATACAAGGTACATGCAGAACACATACTAAACACATGCAGAACACATACTACAGACATACAGAGCACATACAAGACACATGCAGAACACATACAAGATACATGCAGAGCACATACAAGACATTTGCAGAACACATACAAGACATTTGCAGAACACATACAAGACACATGCAGAACACATACAAGACACTTGCAGAGCACATACAAGACACATGCAGAACACATACAAGATTCATGCAGAACACATACTACAGACATACACAACACATACAACACACAGGCAGAACACATACTACAGACATACAGAACACATACAAGACATTTGCAGAACACATACAAGATTCATGCAGAACACATACTAGTCACATTCAAGACATATGTATGACACCTTGAGGACACATGTACTAAAATGTAGAACATGTACACAACACTTCATAACTATGTTGCTTGATTTGAACGGATATTATTTTCTGATTTCAGCACCAGAAGTTCTGAGTTATGAACCTCTTGGTCTCTACACAGATATGTGGTGAGTACATATTGTGTCCTTTATCGTCTGATAATTTCTCAGAATTTCATTAAATCTGAAAATGCTGTTGTGGTTGTATTCACACATGTATTTATGTTTACACCTTTGTACATGTTCACACCTTTATACAGTAAAACATGAATTAGTCGAAGTTAACGCGACCAAATGAAATATTTGACTTAGTCATGTCTATAAATGGTGACCTTGTGTATCGAAGATTGACAACTATTTCATCGGTTGTTTACCAGATAAGTGTCTTGTAACATGGCATGACAGTAATGAATAAGTAACAAATAAATAAAAACATTTCGTAATTTTTTACACTAGCATTATCTTTTAGTTAGATAAACAGTTATAAGTACGAATATAAAACAAAACATGTAAGGCGAAATACTCGTCATTGCAGCACACTCTGGTGGATACACAGCAATGTCACGGAAGCATAACTTAAAAAGAATAAACACTGTAAAAGCATAATTACATAAAAGTAAAATTTGGGTATGTACATGTATATCCATTAATTATACAGTCGAAACTTGTTATCTCGAAATACGAAGGACTGTGGAAAATATTTTGACTTAACCCAAATTTCAACTCAAATGAAGTGTATAAATAAGGTTGATGATGTCAGTTTCCTAATGTTGATTACAGTTGTATGAAGTAGGTTTATGATAGCACATATACAGTGTAATTTAATCTGTTATTTGAAATGGCAGTAAATATACAAATGAATTCATCCTACTTTTCCTTATTTGTACTCAAGTCGTTTCGTCCTGCACACTTGTAAAATACACTTTCTGACCAAGCACATGCACATCATTTATTTTACAGAATGACAATAGAAATGCTGTATGAAGCTACAGATCATATCAATATGACTTTATTATGAATAAGTAAACATATGGTGGTACTAGAAAGTTTTTACCTGTTACAGAAACGCTGTACAGTCACTAGATTTAACAAATCACACACAGATACAGACTCTAGTCTTATCTGTGAAAAATGCTTTCTGTGCTTTATTGTCCTAATACTAAATCTGACAAAGTGTCCGATCACAGTCCTGTAGTAAACAAGCTCAAAATAAGTTTCTCTCAGAATTGTGGGAATCAAATATCATCAAAAAGTCTGTACTGTTTTGACAGTTTTTATTGTTCCGGAAGACACACACAACAAAGCTAAATTTTTTCATGTTTTGTGTAAACGTGCTACTTTTTTAACATGCAGGTAAATCACTTCTACAGGATGGTGACACTTATTAAGAAGCCAAACTTTAATTGGATAATTAAACTGGTAGTTAGTCAGCAAAAATCAAGTGTTTTGTGAACAATGGACCGAGACACTGTAATAAGCCATGTGTTATGCACAGGTGACTTTCTACTTTGTGTATGTATTGACCAATTTCATCAGAAGACATGCCAATGTTTTGACAAAAAATAATTTTGAGACAATGAATGACTTTTCCCTTGCTTTACAATTGAAGAGACTGAAAGATCACTTTGACTCAACCAAAATTTCGACTCAGTGAAATTTGAGTTAACCAAACTAAAATTACAAAATTTAGGAGGAAAAAAATTGAGACTTGAAAACGATTTTGGCTTAAACGAAATTTTGACTCCAGGGATTTCGAGTGAGTTTCAACTGTATTCAAACTCGTAAACACATGTGTCAATGACATCTACATCTCTAGTTTTTCTTTTGGTTTCTGGCAGCCATGCCACGAAAAAGCAAACAAAACATAGCAGATTTACAGTTAACAGACTAAGGTGTACTTTGTTTAAAGTTTGGTCGCCCAATTCAGTATAAATTATAAAGTTCACCTTTGCACTTGCGTAAACACAGGGATTAATGTTCGATTGAAAATTATAATATGGCTAGTTAAAACAGATATGGCTGACCGTTCACATTAAGTCATTCAGACAAAAGCTAGGAATTTTTACCCGAGACAAGGTGATGCCTTGTTGTTTGACACACAAAAAAAGAAATTTTGTTAGAATTTAGAAGGGATGGACCATAAAATATATTTGACACTAACACATTATTTGAATCATCCATGTTTAATTTACTAAGATAAATAAGAGAAAAAAATTGAGAACAAACAAAACATGCAACTTATCCAAAATATTCATTCAAGCGTTTTCCGACACAAGTGAGTTTTACTGTATGTATTGTCACTTGTAATTAGGAGATAATTAACACATTATTACACCTTTCTAGGAGTTTGGGAGTCTTGACATACGTGATGCTGACAGCCTGCTCTCCCTTTTCTGGTAAGACCCAGAATGAAACATTTCTCAACATATCCCAGGTAAACCTCGACTTCCCTGACAATCTCTTCTCCAATATCTCACCTGGAGCCCAGGACTTTATCCGACTCCTGCTGGTCAAGGAGCCCAGGTAAGTTATGATAAACAGGAGTAGGTGACTTAGTCAAGGTTAGTTTATGGAAGGGACAGATAACTTACTCAAGTAAAGAAAGAGATATGTAACTCATTAGGGCAGGTAACTCAGTCAGGTTTTAGAGCTGGTAACTCAGTCAAGGGTAGGGACTGATCACTTGGTCAAGGATAGGGGCAGGTAACTCAGTCAAGGGTTTTGATTCAATTTATTGACTTATTGATTCTTTGCTCTATTTACAGTGAAAGGTTAACAGCAAAGCAGTGTTTAGAACACTCATGGATAAAGAGTGCCAATGTAGAAGGCCCACTGCTCGCTTCCAGCACGGTGCTTCACACAGAAAGCTGTTCTGATCCAGCAGGCTCATGTGAGTCTCTTCTGAATGAGAGCTGTAGTGACTCAGTCAGCTGTAGTGACTCAGCAATGAAGAGCGAGGATGACAATGAAGATGACATTGAAAACAGACTACTGAGTAGTGCACAGCTCAGTGGCAAAAACTCTAGTGAAATCTGTGAAAACAAAAGCGAAAATAAAAATGAAAGAACAAAATCAGAGGGCATGGAAAACCTATACAGAACTCGACTGGAAATTATACCTACAAATGTTATGTACAGATGCAATTCTTCAGATGATAGCAAAACCACTGAAGATTCAGACTTTGATGAGGCAAAGAAAGTTCATATGTGTTGCTCCACAGTGTGCCAATCTTCAGATAAGCAGGATGTCAATAGCAACAATGGCAGATCACCCACACATATATGATACTGACCAACTCTAGTTGTCAAGGGTAACGCCCTCACCTATCCCAGGTTATAGTTGTAAAGTGTAACACCAACACCTATCCCAGGTTATATTTGTAAAGTGTAACACCAACACCTATCCCAGGTTATAGTTGTAAAGTGTAACACCAACACCTATCCCATGTTATAGTTGTTAAGGGTAACGCCCTCACCTATCCCAGGTTATAGTTCTAAAGTGTAACACCAACACCTATCCCAGGTTATATTTGTTAAGGGTAACGCCCTCACCTATCCCAGGTTATAGTTGTTAAGGGTAACACCCTCAGCTATCCCAGGTTATAGTTGTAAAGTGTAACATCAACACCTATCCCAGGTTATAGTTGTTAAGGGTAATGCCCTCACCTATCCCAGGTTGTAGTTGTAAAGTGTAACACCAACACCTATCCCAGGTTATAGTTGTTAAGTGTAACACCAACACCTATCCCAGGTTATAGTTGTTAAGGGTAACGCCCTCACCTATCCCAGGTTATAGTTGTTAAGGGTAACACCCTCATCTTTCCCAGGTTATAGTTGTCAAGGGTAACACCCTCACTTATCCCAGGTTATAGTTGTAAAGTTTAACACCAACACCTACTCAAGGCTATAGTTGTCAAGGGTAACACACACACACATCCAGGTCATAGTTGTCAAAGGTAATACCCACACATATTCTGTTAATAGTTGTCAAGGGTAAAACCCATGCATATCCAGGTCATAGTTGCTAGGTAACTCACATATCCCAGGTTTAAGTTGTCAAGGGTAACACCTTATCTCATCCTAGGTCATAGTTGTCATGGTTAACATCTCACATATCCAGATTATAGTTGTCACGGTTAACATTTTCAGGTCATAGTTGCCAAGGGTAACTCACATATCCCAGGATTAAGTTGTCAAGAGTAACACCTATAGTTGTCAAGGGTAACACCTATACATATCCAGGTCATAGTTGTCCAGGGTTACATCCACACATCTTAGCTCATTGTTGCTAAAGCCAACACCCATACATATCTAGGACATGATTGTCAAGGGTAACACACATACTTTCTCACATTTCAGGTCATAGTTGCTCAGGGTATCTCACATATCCAAGTCATAGTTGTCAAGGGTAACACCCACACATATCAAGGTCATAGTTGTCAAGGGTAACACCCACACATATCAAGGTCATAGTTGTCAAGGGTAACACCCACACATATCAAGGTCATAGTTGTCGAGGGTTACCCCCACACATATCAACATTGTAGTTGTCAAGGTAACATACATATACAAAATGTATATCACAGATCATATTTGTCAAGGGTAACACCCAAACTCATCCTAGGTCATTGTTGTCAAGGGTAACACCCACACATATACAGGTCAAAGTTGTCAATATGAACAGTATGATAATTTGCTTATTTGTTGATATTGCACTCAATGCCAGTTACAGTGTGAACATCCTTAGATAGATATACATTAAACTTGGTTGGAGAAATTCTATTAAACTTATAGTGATGCAGGGGAGGTAACTCATTTAATTGACTAGCTAACTATATTTAATCATGCTAAGATTTATTAACAAAAGCATTTGTAAATAGATTTACTAATGGTAATTTTTTCCTCACTTCAGTCTTAGAAGTAGAATCCTGTCACTTGTTCAGACATGATCTATAGGGTGACATAATTAAAAAACGTTTTTCTGGCTTTGTGATTTTTTAATATGAACAATGTACACTGTATACAGCACCTGCTTGAATCATCCCTGCCTATATACATAAAGAGGTTCAGCTGAGTCCATGCTGACTTTGAAAAATTATCTGAAACACAAAGGTATAGTTAAACTTCAAAACAATTTTTTGTTTATCAACAATGTGGCAACTGTCTTTATTTTTTGTAATCATTTTAAAGTTATTTTATTTTCAGTTGTTTTGATTTTAAGAATGGCAATGCAGAATAAAAATGTATCAGTGTAGCTCCAGCTTGTGTTTGGCCAATTTGGCCATTAACAGTTATATTGATGAATACATGTACATGGTATGGTATAAGTGCTTTTGTTTATTACTTTCTTGTTTTTGGATGAAACTGCAGGTGATCAATATTTTTATCCAGTGTTTGTATACTTCAAGGGAATGACATTCATTTGTAGATATTTGCCATCGTAAGGCAATGAAGTTTGTTACATGTGATGAAAGGTTCACGGAGCTATCTGGAAGAGAATATTGATTTAAAAATATTTGCATTGAAATCCACCATTATGTAAATTGAATCCTGGTACAAATTATCTCCCCTTTGCCATTGTTTGACATATTACATCACTAAATGCCATGGAAACTGGAGTCATCACATAATGATTGAAAATGTCACTTGTACTGTACTCTGGTCTTCATAAAAATTGAAAAATGTGTGGACGATATTTGTGACTTTCTGCTCTGAAGCTGCTCATCACACTGAAAATTTGAAAGCTTCTAACAACAAGTTTTCTTATATGGGATTGACATCTGAGAAGTTTAGTATGTAGATTGATTGTGATTTGTATAAATGTGACTGATATTAAAGTAAAGGATGATGGTGAAATACTGTAGAGTTATGTCCTCTTAATTATCTGTAGGATTTGAAGCAGTATTAGATATATGACTTTTGTTAACATTTTTATCTTTGTTGCATATTCTACAAATATTTTTAAAGGACCACAGCGTTAATAGTGCAATTTTTAATTTGATAATTAGAGCATGTTGTTGTATGTATTATACCTAGCTAGTTGTACCATTGTCTGTAAAATCACTATGCAAGCCACTTAATGTGAACATATTGTTATATTTTCTTACTGTTGAGTATAATAACTACATATGTAAAAACCTTAATCTCCTTGACTGTTTGGTGAAGGGATATGTTTTGGGTTGCGTACAAGCTTTCTTGAACTGAAACATTTTTTGAAATGTTTTATAAACTTAAAAATTTTGTTTCATTTTGCTATCAGATTATTTTCAACACTTACTGGAACAGTGTAAACCTTTACAAACAAAAGGTTGAAAGGTTAACAGGTATGGCAATAATTTTAGATGACACTGTGTTATTATTATTGCATTTTCCAAAACTAAAACTAGAAATCTACAAACAATATGAATGTGGCTATTATGAACCTACTGACTCTGTTCATACCACAATGTGGTCCTGCCTTCATATCTATAACACCAAGTGTTGTTGTGTCTGATCCACTGGACTACTCCAGTGTGGGATCATTGTTATTTAGTGATTACACCTGTTTAGATACTGTATACATGGTAATGTGACAGCGGTAGGTCACAGAAAAATAACACGATGGATTTGTTATTATTGTCATGTTCAGTAGTTAATGATATGTATGATAACATATTGTGACTTGTAAAACAATACCCAATGTTACAGGTCAATCCGATAGTGTACTGACCTCCAGTAATAGTGCCTTACATGTAATGAATAAAGTGCCTTAAGTGTTGACATAACTAATTATTCAATGTATGCTCACTTTTGATGTCGCATTCCCTAACACCATCTGAGTGGTATGTGCAGATATGTTTCAGGCTCAAGTAATTTTACGGACCACCAGTACTACCTTACTATTTATATTATTATGATTCAGAAAAGATTACTTGGGCTGTTTGTTTGATATTAAGAGGAATGTTACATTAACTGGTTATCTAATGTGAACATGAAAGTGACATTGACTTGTCATGTGATATTTACGGGAAGGTGACAATAACTGATCATGAAATATTAACAGGACAGTGACATAGACTAGTCATGTGGTATAATCAGGAATATGTTGTTCCCTGGCATTGTGATGTAAACTGGAATATGACATCAGCTGGTTATATGATATTAACAGGAATGTGGCATGAACTGATACCATGATATAAAGAAGAATATGATATTGACTGGTCTGTGGGCCATGTAGATGACCAAGATATACATATCATCACAGAAATAACAACAGTCACTTTATAATGGTACCAAGTAATACAATAGGTCTATGAGATTATATGGAAACAATAGCTGTGATTATAATTCTCATTCTCTTTTTTTGTCCATTTTTCTAAATATTCATCAGGCTTTGTTGTTGAGACTAGTAATATTTCTAATATTGAACACAAGGACTTGAGACCAAAAGTATTTCTAATATTGAACACAAGGACTTGAGACCAAAAGTATTTCTAATATTGAACACAAGGACTTGAGACCAAAAGTATTTCTAATATTGAACACAAGGACTTGAGACCAAAAGTATTTCTAATATTGAATACAAGGACTTGAGACCAAAAGTATTTCTAATATTGAACACAAGGACTTGAGACCAAAAGTATTTCTAATATTGAATACAAGGACTTGACACCAAAAGCATTTCTAATATTGAACACAAGGACTTGAGACCAGTAATATTTCTAATATTGAACATAAGGACTTGAGACCAAAAGTTTTTCTAATATTGAACACAAGGACTTGCGACCAAAAGTATTTCTAATATTGAACACAAGGACTTGAGACTAGTAATATTTCTAATATTGAACACAAGGACTTGAGACCAAAAGTATTTCTAATATTGAATACAAGGACTTGACACCAAAAGCATTTCTAATATTGAACACAAGGACTTGAGACTAGTAATATTTCTAATATTGAACACAAGGACTTGAGACCAAAAGTATTTCTAATATTGAACACAAGGACTTGACACCAAAAGTATTTCTAATATTGAACACAAGGACTTGACACCAAAAGTATTTCTAGTATTGAACACAAGGACTTGAGACCAAAAGTATTTCTAATATTGAACACAAGGACTTGAGACTAGTAATATTTCTAATATTGAACACAAGGACTTGAGACTAGTAATATTTCTGATATTGAACACAAGGACTTGAGACCAAAAGTATTTCTAATATTGAACACAAGGACTTGACACCAAAAGTATTTCTAATATTGAACACAAGGACTTGACACCAAAAGTATTTCTAATATTGAACACAAGGACTTGAGACCAGTAATATTTCTATTATTGAACATAAGGACTTGAGACCAAAAGTATTTCTAATAGTGAACACAAGGA